AACCTATAAAATAACAACAATAAGTTGTATATATAAATATTGACAATTGAAATTACAATTGAACATTGAAATCAAATTGACTAATACGTCAAATCGGTGAAATTCATTAAGCTCAGTGAAGAACTCTACAGAAGCAGTGAAAACTATCACGAAATATTTTGAATTTTTTTTTCTTATAATAATAATAATAATGACCAATAATGTTAACCTTTTTTTAGAAGACTATTCACCTAAATTTTATGATTAGTTTGAAGAACAATATTGACAAATCAATCTATCAGCCGATAAAACCATGTGTTTTACTCTTATATTTTCATTAAAAATAAAGATCATTTTGGAAGTGGTATAAACTAAACAGCTTGTAAACGATTTCTATAAAGAATGGTGTGATTAGAAGTACAAAAAGTATACATTATTGTTGATGGTTGGTATCAACCATAACTTAGAATTATTAGTGTAGAAAGACTTTGAAAATGGTCGGTACTCATGGTTAAATAAAAGAGTGATCTTCCTTAGTAAAATCAATAAAAACTGGTCAGAACTGAAAAGTATTTTCATCTTACAATAGAATTTCTTAGTAGAGTTCATCTATAAACTTATCGATTGGTTAAACACAAACAGCTTCATGTCTTGAGGCAAACTCTTAATCTTAGAAATGAATCATTCCTGTGCTCATTGATTTTCGATTTTAAGTTGATTCAATCCCTATTCATACTTAACCATTCTTTATTGTAATTCATAGGTAACTTACGAACTTGAAATAAGTGAATTCACTAGTCGTCCCGCGTGCAAGACCGAAGGTCCTGAGTTCGATTCCTGTGAGGTTCAGGAGTCGTGGTTGCGCACTGCTGACGATAACCATAATGGGACGAAACGTCCATCCTGTGCTTCCAGGTTTCTAATGATGGTCTAACAATGATCGATTCATGATTTCAAATATATAAGATATGACTTAAAGTCTTACAATAAAATCAAGTTTAACTTAGATCTAGTGAAAACTAAACTTGCAAACACCCATTCCTCTAGGTTTTTCAACATGCTTTCTTGGCCTACACTTGTTGTAAGTAAACTTGTTTTCAAAAACGTATTCATCAATTCAGAATGAAAATACCCTTAAATAAAATAAGATCACATGTAATTTCAAAAGCATCAGTGAAAGGACAAGCTATTGTATAAACAATTGTTGTTTTTAAAAATTAATTGTACATGTATGCTTCAGCAGTTGGTTTATTTTCAAACATGTTTTTCTTATTTGTCTCATCTTATTCCTAGTTAAGTAACATGAAAGAATCTATAACTAAAAGAATTTTCATTTTACTACAAGGTGCCATCAAATGGTATCAGGTCTTACTAAGCTATTTATTCCTGTTCAATATTCAATGAATGATACATTATAATTCAAGAAAAGTTCAACATTAAATCTCAACGTAAACTAGTGTGAATTAATTCTTTGTGTATAATTTTTATCTAAAGTGTTCATTGAATTTGAATTCTGACAAAACTAATGTACAAGTTTTTGATGGTTACTGAATAAAATCAGTACTAATTAGTAGTAAACATTGAATTGTTTGGATTCCTCGACCAGTAAATCAAAATTATATACTTTGCTCAGTGTGATCATGTGATATAATCAAAAACAAGGTAATCACATGATGATTAACATATTGAGTTGATGATTTTAGTATCTAAATTTAGAAACGAGCTCTAATGATGATTGATGTACCACAAGGAAATAGCTTTCATGAAGGAATAATAAAAAAAAATGTAAAATTATTAAACATTTCTAGCTTTGTTCTAAATTGAGTTTTATCCGAAATACTTATCTATAATTTCATGCGGAAAGAAGGGGACAAACGATTTTTGTACATAATGGCAAGAATCATATACTACTGAAAAGGAGCTACATTTAATTTTGGTCAACTAGTAACCATTTTACTCTTGACTTGACTCGATTCACTTGAAAAAATGCAAGTGGCCAGTGCTTATGCGATTATTACGTTATTTAATAATTTGTAAAGATAGTTTTTAATTTTACTTCGCTTATAACAGGTCTGGCTTATTGTTGTCGGACTATAAATACTCAGTCATGTGTCATCGTATTGACAGTTGGCTCGCTTATACTCTATACTTCACTTTGCTTGCTTGTATCCTTTTTTTCTGCCTACATGAACGATTGCATGAAATAAATTTATCCGCAAAACCATATTTGGCTTCTTATTATACCACTGTCGCAAAAAAGAAGTTTGCCTAAACATGTTACATGAAAACTAAATAGGTAGATTTATATACTAGTCATAAATAGCGGAGTCCAACCACGGTTCACTAAACTGATTAATCCTACATCGAATTCAATGCAGATACAAACTGGGTGAGCTCTACTCCGAATCTAATGCAGCCACTAAACTTAAACCACAGAACCGTAAGAAATCATTGAGCATGGCAAAGTTAGATAAATCCCTCAAAAGTAAGTTCAGTAAATAATAATTATTGTGTTCCTGTTAACTTCTACGATGTTCCGAACGAAAGTGGTATTCTAAAGGGTTTCTTCATTTGATCTATTTGAAGAAATATACCATTTTAAAAAGCTACACATATAGTCGTCCATTGGTAATTTTACACCAAAAACTCTATTTTAAACACTACAAATATTCCATATCTATCCACTATGAATATCTCAGTATAACATAGCCAAGCATATTGGATAGGAAACTTAATATTAGTCAATGTTACATCTTAAGGTTGAATTCTTAAATCACTACCAAACTTTCACATACATCATTCATTTACTAAAAGAATATCACATAAAGAATTTCAGCGTTATTCCATACAAATACTTAGATAAACCTGTACTCTACAATAAATGAATAAGCTTTTCTATATTTGCATAAATAGTCTACAAATCATTACTGAAAGTATTTTGTTTTAACAGATCATTTATCAATGTATATATATATATATATATATATATATATATATATATATTGGTTAGGGTAATATAATGATGTTCAAATAATATCAGTTTAATATTACATTCGTGAATGCGATTCTCCTCGTGGACAGGCAAAATGTAACCGATAGTCAGAGACTTTGAATGACCTGACTCATAATCATTTGTGATGGCACAGATCCATCCAGGTCTTTGTTTTATCTTACATTCTAATTTTCTGAATTGCTCATGATCGTTTTACTCTTTTAAAATTTATTTCACCGGTTCATACTTTTCGAATTACATTTTTGATTCTTAATCTTTTCAGTTACTGTTAACACCTCTACTACCTCTGCTATTGAGAGATTTAAATTGACAATTCAATCCGTATGTTTTAATGTGATATGGCAACTTGAACTGATGCACCTATGTACATACGAAGTTCCACGTTGTCGATAACTGAATAACTTATTATATTGACGAAATCTCTATGAAACACTTCGTGATGAGTGAATAAATGTTTTGAACAATTTTTATTTTAATCTATTTCAAACAAACGAACATTGTTTTTGAATTTCTATGTTATTTCCATCAAGTATGATGTATACTACTGGTTTATGTTAATCAAATTACTTAGTCAAGTCTTATATATCTTTTCATACTACTACTAATACGCCCATTGAATATAATTTCATTTTATATATCAGATATTATATATATATATATGACTAAACAGTTATTTGACTTAATTATCAAATGAGAAGCAAGTTTGAATTTGTAAGACTTTACAAATAAGATTACTAGTCATATTGAACAGTATCATCAAAGATTTAAATTCACTTTACTTAAAGCCAAAATGAAAATATGACAACGGAATAAATTTTTAAATGCAGAGTTGAATTGATTTACATAACATGTAAATTTACAAAAGTCAGTATTACAGAATCTTAGAAAACTTAGCATTACATATTCCTCAGCTCTTTATCATTGGAAAGAGTGTTTAAGGTCATAAATACGCTCGCTATCTTTATGAAGTAATAATTGTTTTGTAAGTTATTCAGAATTTTCATTCTTATTTCTAATATCTGTGTCCTAGTTTATAAACAACTTCGTCCCAAGTCCGGAAAAAAGGAGGAGGGTTGGGCATACGGTTGGCAACCCCATTCCACCAACAAAACTAACTTGCTGAAAATACGCTAACCAGAACAAATAATTCAAATCACTTTAACTCTGCCCTGGGAGTTGGAAGACGAATTATGACGTCTCGTGATGAAAGCCGAGTTCTCTCGGAAGTCACAAGGCCGATACCTCTTCTGACAACCAGAGCAAGTATTCTTCTAGGTACATGGAACGTTCGAACATTGTAGTAGACTGGAAGACTATTTCAAGTTGCTGCAGAAATGAAAAGATACGACCTGGAGGTGCTTGGAATCAGTGAGACTAGCTTCAGGGGAACTGCTGTTATACTCTGGTCATGAAGAGGAAAATGCTCCACATACACAAGGAGTTGCACTAATGCTGACCAAACAAGCACAAACGGCACTGATAGGATGGGAATCGCATGGACCCAGGATACCTCATCAAAATACCAAAGAAAGGAGATCTCAGCAAGTGTGAGAACTACAGAGGCATCACTCTTTACTCAATATCAGGCAAAATCTTCAATAAGTTATTGTTAAACAGAATAAAAGATTCTGTAGACGCTCAACTTCGAGATCAACAGGCTAGATTTCAAATGGATCTATCGTGTACTGACTAAATTGCTAAATTACGGATCATTGTGGAACAATCAATTGAATGGAACACACCACTGTACGTCAACCTATTATAGTGAATTTTATCCAGATTCAGTTATATATTACATTCTCATAAAACATTAAGCTTTAAATGGATATTTGTTTTTGCATTATAGGATTATAAAGATTATTGAGTTCCTTTGAACTCATGACAAACCGTCCATCCCTCAGTTTCTGATGATGGTAGTCTAACATTAACCGACTCATGATAATTTAAATAGACAAACGAACAATTTCATCATGTGTACTTGAATAGTTAAACAAACATACAAACTTACAAATCATACCATTTTGTTTATGGCATAATTCATGATTTTGATCATAGATAATTAGATTACAAGGAATTCGATGTTCCGTCGACATGTTCACACAATTCTTTACTCCATTCATTCTTTTTACATCTGTACAATTACCATTAGTCATGTTAAAACATATAGTATCTGTAGTAAAAGGTGATATTGACGTGTAGCCTTGTTCGATAAAAGTTTGCTGTAGACCATTTGGTTTGGCTGACGCTTGTTGCTGTAATTTATTGACTTTCAATGGTGATAGTTTATTACGATTTTTATCATTGTTGACAATATCAGGAGTATTGTTATGATTAACATTATTATTATGATTATTATTATTACTATTATGTGTGACATTGTTAACATAATTACTGCTCACATTAGCCTGATGCTTGTTACGTAGATTATCAATAAATCGATTAAAAATGGATTTAATATTTTGAATGAATGATGTACTTCCTCCAATTTCACAATTATCAACACCATTAGATTGATTGATTGGAAAATTAGTTTTGGTGGAAAAATTACAATGTTCATTGTTGCATAACATTGGATTAGTCGGGAAAAAATATCCATTGGTCGGCATAGCTGATGATGACCATGGTGACGAAATTATTGACGATGATGTTGATGTTGATGAGAATTTGGTACTTTCTATTTTGTCACAGGGAAATTTTGAAAAGTATGTAGGTGATGTTATTGGAGTTGGAGAAGCGGCCGTTGAATATGGAGAAATCGATTCAGTGGAATGTAGATCATTGTGTGAATTGTGTTTTAGATTTTCACTGTTGTATAGATGAGATCGATGGAGTATTTTAGCCAAATGACCATTTCCCGATCGATGCGGTGAAGTTGTAACTGATTTTGATGTTCTTTTTGATATTTCTACAATGTCATGATTGTTTTTATCTTGTTCATTGAATAGTTTACAACGTTTTTCATTCTTCCAAGATTTTGAACGATAATATGATTTTTTAACTTTATTCTGTCCAACAGATAACATGTTGTTTCGATAGTTAATTTTGATTTATCTAGTGTAGGAGAAATGTAAAGTTTCATTCAATATTACAAATATTTAACTTCATTGCAAATAATCAATACAATAAATTTGGATAAATTTAAATTCATTTCAACAAACACTTTAATTAGTTCATAGATTGTTGTAGCATTTGATTGATTGAAGAACGTGTAACATAATTGGACATGATGAAAATATCACTGTGATATGACATGAAAAGTTTATACTAGTCATAAGACATGTCGCTGAAAAATCATTATCATAATAATAATATCGAAACGAATTTTGAAAAAAAAATCGAACACTTCAAGAAATGTTCGACTGCCGGTCATAAATTCAATTAATAGTAAGATAGTCAGATATTGCATTGTTGAAGAATCTTCTCCGAGTTCTAATGGCAAGTCGTGACCAGTGAAGTTCAACCTGTTCGGGTGTAGGCAGTATTTATCAAGGGCAGTGTTTGAGGTTGCGCAAGACCGTGAATTGATTGAAGTTAGACATTACCGCAGTTAGATTATGGCTTGTTCAGTGTTCCAGAGGTTAAGCGTTCGCGCTCACGACTGAAGGTCCTGGGTTCGAACCTTGTGAGGAGCAGGAGTTGTGGATGCGAACTGCTGATGAGTCCCGTAACAGGACAAAATGGCAGTTCAGTGCTTCCAGGTTTCTAATGGTGATCTAATATTGATGGACGTGTGGTTTCAAAATCTGGATTTAAAAAAAACATACATTTAATCTAGATGTTTTAAAAATCTGAGATATCAGTCCATAACAAAACTCTCCCTGGAGCTCCTCTGAGGCTACTGCCGGTCCCCAGACCGGATGGTTGAGTATGGAGTTAGCAATCCCATCCCATTGAAAAGGGACTCACTAAAATCAAAGCTGATTTGTAACGGTTATGAAAAATCAGAGATTTTAATTGAATCTTCGAGACTTATAACACTTACTGGTATTCTTTGTTGTGCTATATTTGTTAGGCAATCTTTAGTATAAATTTTCAAATATTCACTGTTCTTTACTATTTATACTTTCGATGTTGATGTTCAAACAGCCTTACATTTGGTTATATATATGGTTACGCAACACTAATAACTGCATTTCAAATATCAATAATCTTAAGTAACTTATATATGATAGGTGTAAAATTTGTGTTTAAGCTAAACTCGCTGAAAACATTATTCATTTAATTGATGATGATAGATTATGACTATTGAAACATGTAGAGGTTTGTTCTGACTGTCTATTGAAGATATATATTTATAGATTACATCACCAGATGATCTTAGTTATTCAGTTACTGAAAACCAAAAATAATCTAATTGTTACATCTTCCTAGTATAGGATTTTTCAGCTGTACACATTGATGGACCTCGACCTCATTGTCTAGGCGTAAAGCGCTTGACGATAACTTGGTGTTCCTAGGTTCAATCCCTAGTGTATACGGGACAGTTTTACAGTTTTCAATCGGTATCTAAGATCGATCCATGATTTAAGGTTCAAAAATCTTCACAAACTCCATAGACTAAAGAGATATTTGTTTCAACGTTATATATATTTTGTGAAATCGTGAATCGATCAATGTTAGACCAACATTAGAAACCAGGATGAACTGGACATCCATTCCATCCTAGTATGGGAATTATCAAAAGTGAGCATCCAAGACTCCTGCTCCTCACGGGATTACGAAACCAGAGACTTTGGTATGCACGCTAACGACTAACCTCTAGACCACTAAGCCGGCATTTAAAGGTATTAATGTTTAATTTAGACCAGTCTATGGTCCTACGCAACATTATCCACTGTCTTCGGTGAGCACTACTTCACACTAGAACAGGGTTAAACTCCATTGGTCACGAATTCTCACTAGAACTGGAAGAAACCTCCTCACAGAGTTAGTATAATATAACTGGTTCAGATAATAGTTTATAGCATAAAATTCAACGTATTGATATCTTTGCTTGAATACAAAAGTTGGTACATTTTAATTTTAAGATGACAAAAAAAAATCATGGAATATCGAAGTTTCATTTTTGTTTTCGGCAGAAAAACGTTATTCATTGTACTTTCATTATAGTTTTTGAATGATTTCCTGATTCGCATCCTCAAGGTTGTCATCTATTCACTTTTGAAAGTATTTAAATTTTTCTCGAAGTTTTGTTTTCTCCATAACAATGATAATACAAATTTGACTGATTGATTTGAATAACTTACAAAAAAGAAAACAGCCATCAACCATTCATTCATTCACTTTAAAATGTCATTGAATATTGTTGAAAACGAAAAACCAAGCAATCAATAAATCATAAACTCAGTAATAATCTAGTTATAGACAAGATTAAATAAATAATTCAATCATTTATTTATTAATTAATGAATAGATTTTTAAAAACAACATTTCCTAATGTTCAAATAAAGATTTAGAATCATTATTGTTCATTTTTTTATTTTAATCTTATCAATAATATTAATAATAATGTAACAAGTTATCTGTAGATTGAAAACATTGATAGGCATGAATTTGATTACTGAATATTGAACAAAGATTATGAAGGATTGTCGAATGTTTGTTTGCTAAAGATAGTCTTTGTTGTTGTTGTTGATGATCATGATGATGATAAGTAGATTTACAAACCTTTAGTTTGTACAGTTAACTCCGCTTAGAACACCTCTGAGGCTATTGATGGTCCAACAGTCCGGATAAAGGGGAATGGTTGGACGTGGGATTAGCGACCCTATGTCGTAGAAAACTGAATCGCTAAGAAAAAACGCTAATCAGAAAAAAAAATTAATTCAGACTATTTAAACTCTACCCTGGGAGTTGGACAGTTTTCATTTAGAAGAGTTATGACATCTCATGATCAAAGCCGAGTCCCTTTTTAAAGTCATCAGACTGATGCCTTTTGTGACAACCCGAGCAGCTATTATTGTAGGTACATGGAATGTTCATATATTGTGGGACACTTGAAGAGTCATCTAATTTGCTTCAGTCATTGAAATTCTCTCATTTTTACAAAAACTATTTAATTACTCAGTTTTGCTGGTTTCTATCACACGTTTTTCTAATTTATTTACATTTAGAATGTATTTTAAAGTCATATTAGTTAATCGTCAATTAAATATTTATCATGTACACTAATGACACGAAGTATGAATGAGTGAACATTTTAATTTTTACTCATACAACACGATTGCATCACAAAAGTATTCAATCTAATCACATCTAATCTGTTAGTTAGTCAATAGAGTCACAATATCCACCAAACAGTAGTTGACTAAGATTAGAATTTCAAATCGAATTGAAAAGATTTACATTTTTCAAGACTAATCTAAATCTTTCTTATAAATTAAATATATTTTTTATTCAACAAGTTAGTAGATATCATAAAGCAGTAATTTAATAAATAATGCATCCGAGTTTAAAGTGACAAGTATAGTAGATTTTAGTGCAATCATCGTGTTTGGACATTAGATTCCAGTTAATTAACGATGACAAATTACCAGTATGTCAGAATTTACAAGTGTTAGCTATTGTTCCAAAAAATTACAACTGAATTTGTATTAATTAAGGGAAAATTTCGAGATATTTGATCAAACAATCTTATCTATACTAATAGTGACTAGTTAAAAACTTCAATGGTGAATATCACTATTGGGACAACAGAAACACTAATAAGTGCTATTTCTGTTAAATAGATTGATTATTTCCGTTTGTGTTCTTTGATGATAATTCTACTTAAGTTATCTTGGAACAAACAATACGATTCAGTTATTAGCATTCTGAAATATTATTGGTTGCTCTGGTTGTTAGAAAGGGCATCGACCTCATGACTTCCGAAGAAATCCTTCTCAATAAGGATATTCCAACTCCCTGGGTGAAGTTAAACAGCTTAAATTATCTGTTTGCTTGGCGTTTTTTTTAACAAGCTAGTTTTCTACAAGATGAGGTCGCTAACCCCATGCCTAACCATCCTACTTTATCTCGGCGTTTTGTATCGACAGTAACCTCAGAATGTCTCCAGGCGGAATTCTGAAACCTGACTAATAGTTGTTTAATAATAAGCAGATTTTATGTACAAACAAAATGAAAAATATCTCAATATTGTAAAAGATTTACTTTGCATTCGATATCGGTAATACTTGGTTGCATTGAATTTTCAAATGAATTTCACAAACTTTTCAACAAACTCTGTGGCACATGAAATCATTGAAAACAGGAAAGATATGTATTAATCATTATTGATATTTGATGAAGATACTGATTGAATTCTAATTTTATTATCTAAAAATAGGTAGATTTATCTGAATGTGACTTGAACGTTTTTTAAGTTGAAATTTGTATAGTGTCATGACTTCCATGTATTGTAGAATATTCTACTTCGTTTCATCAATGAGCTTCCAGATAGTGTTAATTATATCAACAAAGATTCGGATAAGTATTCACTTACGATAGAATATTGAAAAAATTTAAAATTAAAGCGCCAAAACATGATAAATAATTTCACTTCACTTACAAACTTATAATTCCACAGTTCATTCAAAAAAATGAAACAATCAGTTGATTTGTTTGTTTAAATCCACATTTATAATTTTCACTGACTAAGAAGGTTTGCATGAATAGTACATACTGATTTATGGAGTATCAAATAATACAAAATAGAGAATTATGAACAAAAAAACTTGGTCAATCATTCATTGAATATTGAAAACTAAAAAATTATTTTTAAAAAATTTAGATCAATTATCTACAACATAAATAATCCCTCAAAAATCTATAAACATATATACTTACTGAATTGGGCCAATAATAAATATCTATATATATTTATAAGTGTAGTTTTTTCACTGATCAATATTAGAAAAATCGTTATAATTCACTGACTGTGATCCTTGTGACTATGTCAATTTGTAAAATTCATACTTGGTCAGTATTCACAGGCAGTTGAAGATCGGTCAGCGTATATTCTCTCTGTGTGTGCGTGAAACTATGT